GTTCTTGCTTCAATAGACATGGGTTTATTATTTTTGTGTTGGTTGGTACTGCTTTACAACACCGTTTTGTATTAGAAAGGCTGGGTATATTGTATCCATCATAAGAATGACTCATTTGTTTTTTATTATATCTCAATTTACATTTTATATTATATTAAAACTCATTAGTATTAGTCCAATCGAAAATAAATGATTTTATGACCAAATTGACCAATTATTTTTTATTATAATAAATCAATTAATTGTTTAATTAATAAAAAGTATATTAATTTTAATACAATCAAGTTATTTAAATTTGTGCTATTTGCAAAACTTGAGTGTAAACATTTAAATTATAAAAAAAATTATTTAAACATCATTTAAAATCAATTTATTTTTACATGGAATAAAATATTTAATATTATCATATAGAAAATGTCATTTTTTCAAAAATGCCGAAAGAAAAAAAAACAAATTATTAATAATAAACAATAATTAAAAAATATAAAAAAAAATAAAGTATGTTTCAAAAAAATTTACTATTATTTTACATACAAACTCGGGAACAATTTGCTTATTATTCTACCAATAAATAACAATTTATTAATTTTACATTGATTAAAATATTAATTTGAATATTAATATATTATAGTAATTTTGTTTTGAACCAAAAAACTATATTTCAAAGATTGATAAATTGTTTGAAATAGTTATCCAAAAGAAAACTTTAAGTTTATATTTATATATTTTCCATTGTTCATCAAGTAAAAGTTTACATTTGTTTTTGATGTTTTAATCTTTAATTAATTTCACAGTTTTGAAGAGGCTTAGAAGAACCATGAATGAATCCGATCTGCAACCATTTTTGATAACTTTTGAAAACTCTGTGACTTGCCTTTATTTACTTTAACATAGTCTCGGTTTACTGATGAAAAAGCAAAAATTACATTTTTAATATTATAAAAAACATTAAAATCAATTCAAAACACATGAATCAAAATTTAATTTTTTAAAGATCTGATTATAATAACACATGTCAAAACGAGTTGACGTATATTCCATGCAAATTGTTTTGAATTATTTAAAAGAGTATGGTGATTTCATAAATATTATTTCGGTGTGTAAGAAGTATCAATATACACTTGACCGCATTCGTATGAATCCAATCCAAATCACTCCAAAAACAAAAAACCTTTTTAAATTTATTCAAACCCAGCAATTTTTCTCCCCCTTTGACATAAAACTAAACACCGAAAAATCACTTTTTAATTATTCGAAATGCGCACAAGATTGTTTAATTGAGTTAAAGAATTACAACTCTTGCCCTTTCTCTGTTTTTACAAAAGAAGACCGAATCGCTTTTGGCGGCAAAATCCCAAACTTTGTCAAGAAAATTGGAAAAAATTCATTTGAAAACTGTGATGTACATTCAATAATTCTTCCAACCTCAGTCATTGAAATTTCTCAAAACGCATTTTATGGTTGCTCGAATATCACAGAAATTGTTTTGCCGCCATATCTCATGACACTTGGTAATTACTCATTTTACAATTGCATAAATTTGAAAGAAATTAAACTCCCAAAACTGCTTAAGTTCATTCCAGACTCATGTTTCAATAGATGTACATCACTATCTTCCGTAAGTTTTGGCACACAAATTACGTTGATTGGATATCACGCTTTTAATGAATGTGCTTTCAACAATTTTACAGTTGACAAGAAGGTCTTTATCAACGAACTTGTATTCACTGCAAATACACTCACAAGTATCAATTTTTGTGGTAAAACGTGTATACCCCGAAAGACATGTTATAAGTGTCAGCATCTCAAAGAAGTTGTGATGGACAACACCGTAGAGATCATCGCAGACTCCGCGTTTTCAGAGTGCAACTTACTTGAAAAAATTACTCTTTCTACGAACTTGGAAGTCATAAATCTTAATGCTTTTTCTAATTGTAAAAAACTGAGTAAATTTGACGTTCCACAAAAAGTTCGAAAAGTTGGAAGTTTTGCATTTGAGAAATGTGAACAATTGAAAGAACTTGTTTTTAATGACAATGTTGTATTTGAAGATGGCGGCTGTTTTGAACAATGCACTTCACTAACCAAATTAGATGTTCCATTTTCTTATATGAAACACGTGTACACTGCAACTGAAAGTGAAAAGGAAATATTTATGAGGCTTGGAATTAAAGTTTTGAATGTAATGAAAAGCGAAGAAATTGTTGAGAAAGTGTTTAAATTTGACAACTTTTGTGACACATTATGTGATGTTTCTAATCACGCTGATTACGTTCATCTTGGGGATTTGGACATGTTTGACAATGATTCTAATTATTTGAGTGAACACCCAAGAGTGTACATTCCTTCTACTATTGTTGAAGCAGACATTGGATGTTACAACTTCAATAATCCAATTGAGAAGCTTTTGATATCTGAAAATGCCCTTTTGTTAAATGAATCTAATTTTTATGTTTACAACGCAAATAGAATACAAATACCATCCACTATCACAAAAATTCCAAAGTGTTGCTTTTCAAGGTCAAAACTTGAAGAGTTTGTCGTGCCGCCAAATGTGCGTGAAATTGGAACAGAAGCCTTTTCGGATTCACCGAGTTTGACGTCACTTTATATCCCAAAAAGTGTTACAAAAATTGGAAAACGTGTTGTTGCTGGATGCACCAATTTAAATTCGATTGTATTTGAAGATGGACGCAGTTTTGATATTGAAAAAGAAACTGAAGACCAAGAAAATATCCACAATGTTACACCAAATACAACAAAACTGAATTATAAAGTCGAGTTTCCTCTTAATAGTACAAGAATAGAAGTCCCATCAAGTGTCACAAAAATATGTTATACATTTTTTAAAAAATACAAAAATTTGTGTGAAATTGTATTTCCTACAACAATCAAAAAATTTGAAAGTTTAATATTTGATGAGTGTAACAAACTCACTAAAATATCATTTTGTCGCTGTTCAAACAAATCAGACAATACACACGTGAATGATATTGAACAATTCAAAAAATTATTTTTCAAAACAGTTGCTGTCAGTTACGCGTTTTATCTTCAAATGAAAGCGTTTGGGTACACATTTTACAATGTCAATTACTATACAATTGATTACGACTTGTATGGTACAAAGGTTGATTTTTCTGTGATTAAATATATTTACAACCAAAATAAAAATGTTATTTTAAATAATACAAATTCATTGAATCAGTATATTTGCACTGATTTTAATTATAGTAACAAGTTTGTGATACCATCAAAAATTGAAGTTCTTGACAGGTGCTATTGTAATACTGATTATATCAAATACGTGGACGTGTCGTTGGTTACAAAGAAAATCACTGGTGAATGTTTTAGTGGTGCGCAATTTCTACAAAATGTCACGTTTTCAAACACATTAGAAAAAATATGTTATGACGTGTTTAATAATTGTTATTCATTAAAAAGTATAACACTCCCAAAAAGTCTTAAAAAAGTTGGTGAACGATGTTTTGCATTTTGTTATTCGCTTGAAAGTGTGTGTTGTGAGTCACAGGAAGTTGTTTATAACTCGCAGTGTTTTATGAATTGTTTTAATTTAAAAACAATTCCAAAAATTCAATTTTTAAAACGAGGAGTCTTTTGGTGTTGCAATTCGCTTGTTAAATTTGAAAGGTTTGGAGATGTTGAATGTATTCCTCATTGTACGTTTATGAAGTGTTATAACTTGAAAGAAATGGTATTGCCAGAAACACTTAAAACAATTGAGAAATTCGCATTCAAAAACTGTTACTCACTTGAGAATATTACATTCCCAAAAACACTTGTAAAAATGGAGGATGGTTGTTTCATGAATTGCTTAAATTTGAAAAGTGTCAATTTTAAAAACAAAAATATAAAATTTGGAAATGATGTATTTGAAGGATGTACATCACTCACCGAAATACAAATTGAAGGTGAAAAGATTAACAATTATAATGGAGAAGTCAGTTATACACTTCACAAACAGTTTGAAAAGAATAGCATTATTTGTGACAACGTAAAAGTGAAATTTAACGATTTAAAAATATTTGGAATTGATATTTTGAAAAATGAAAATGTTCATCGCATTGATGAAGGTGCATTTTTTAATAACACAACAATTACTGAAATCAAAATACCAAATAACATTACTCAAATTGGTAATTTTTGTTTTGCGTGTGCAACACAACTCGAGAATGTCATATTACCATCGTCAATAACAGAATTAACCCCTTTCTGTTTTGATAATTGTGTGTCACTAAACACAATAAATTTGGAACACGTCAAGAATATTGGAATGGGGTGCTTCGACAACACAAAATTTGAAAAAGTCGTGGTTTTGCAAACAAAAACAAATTAAGCTCGTAATTACAATGATTTGGTTATTGTTTTTTAATAAATACAACTCACAACACACAACTAAAAACAACAACTTATTTTAAATACCAATTTTTATTCTAATTATATATAATTTTTGTTCACTTAACATTCTAATTCATTTTAAACCCATATCTTTACATTTATGAACAAGTTAATTTATTGAAAATATTTTGAAATGAACAACAATTTGTATTTATTTAAATTAAAAATGTTCTATGAGTATGTATTATAAATATATATTATATATACTTATGATCAATAAGTATTATATCGATCATTATATTGTATATCCAATACAATATAATTACAGAACTGATTTTAAAATTAAAATTGATACTTGATCTACAACTGTACTTGAAATGTTAATTATCAAATGCATTTTCAGAAATAATGACATTGTCTGCGTCTTCAAACATCACATTTTCTCGAGTGAACGATTGACAAAAACACATTCTTCCAATACTTTTTATATTTTTGTGTATTTCAATGCAATTTGTGTTTTTAAAATTTCTAAAGCAACCATCACCAACTTTGGTTACATTAAGTGGAATTTTTCCGATTGTTGTTCCATTTAAATTGACAATTTTTAAATTCTTTTGAATATCACTTTTTGTAAAAATTACATTCTTGCAGTGAATTTGGTGTTTTTCAAAATTGTCCGCGATTGTGAAAGTGACTGGTTGTTCTATTTCATTGATCTTATTACCTTTAACCGTTATGTTCTTCAAGTTATTACAACTATTAAAAGTTTCAATTTGGCATTTTGGAAACTTTCCTTCAAAATGCAGACAACTTAATTTGTCGCAATGTATGAAGGCGTTTTTCTTAATAAAAGTGAGCGATTTTGGAAAATAAAGTTGTTCCAATTTGCTGCAATTTTAAAACAAAACGCGCCAATTTCTTGCAGTGAATGCCCAAAGACTATTTGAGTGAGTAAATTGCAATTCAAAAACGCTTTATTACCAATCAAGACAACATTTTGTGGTACTGATATTTCATCTAACCAATACATGTTTTTAAATGTGTAATCTCCTATTTTGATGACACTCTTTGGAATGTCTATTGAAGACAATTGATAGCAATATTTAAAAGTTTTCTTCATTGTTATGTTCATTTCTCTCGAATGTAAGACATCAATTTTAGTGAGTGAACAACACCTTTTGAACACTTTTGGTGAATTGAAAACAATAATTGGAGATACAACTTTTTGTAGTTTGACGCACCCCTCAAACGCGGATTTTCCAATGAAAGTGACACTTGATGGCATGTCTATGTCTTTTAAAGAAGCACAAAACATGAATGCAGATTTCCCAATAATTTGCAAATGTGTTGGTAACACAATTTTGTTGAGTGAATAACATTTAAAAAACGCAAAATTGCAAATTTCAGTGAGTTTCGAAGGCAACACAATTTCTTCAAGATACATACAATTCGCAAAACAGTTGTTGAAAATGACTTGTATAGTGTCTGGGATCACAATTGAAGGAAGTGATTGTATTAAGTTGTTTCCTCCCGATAACGAAAGTACATCACAAGTGGTCACAAATTTCATCTGTGAGTAATCTTTATATGTAAAAACAACTTTGTCACAATGAACACCACATTTCTCAAGTTTCTTCTTCTCCTCAAAAGTCACTTCCCCACTAAAACTCCGTTTACCACACAAATCAACCTTTCTTAAATTATTACATTTTGTGAATAAATTGTGACCCATTTTTGTGAGTGTTGTTGGAATTGTGACTTCCTCAAGTGCACTCCCAAAACAATACTCATCAATTTCTTTGATATTCCCCAAATTCAGACTTATGATGTAGTCATTTGCGAATATCATGGGTCCTATTTTAGTCACATTAACTGGAACTTCAATCTTCGTAATTTCTTTATTTTTGCAAACACCAACCCACTCAAAAAACACTTCTTGTTTTGTATTTATATTTGGATTTGTTGTAAATTCTACAAGTTTTGATTTGCAATTATTTGCATCAAAACAAACGCCAATTTGTGTGCACACTAGTTAAATTGTTCAATCACCTTCTGGTCTTCCTGTGTCACCAAAAACTCGACTTTCCTCTCATAATTTGGGATTTCAAGTTTTGTGAGTGATGTACAGTTTACAAAGCAGTTTGTTTCAATCTTTGCACGTTTGTTGATCACAAGTTCTTCAAGTGTTACACAGTTGTTGAAACATTCAAACCCTATTTTCACAACATTTTCCATCCCAAAAATGTGTTTCAATTTTACACAATTTTTAAACATCATTCCTCTAAATTTTGTAACCAACGGTGACATATAAACTTTTTCTAAATTTTGTATGCCACTGCAGCTCCAATTAAGTTTTTTGTTGTTAGATTTCCAAAATCAATGACTTTAATGTACTTATCTTTTTTGAAAGGAGTTGAATTGATTTTAATGTGTAAATCCTCTGCAAATATAACGTGGTTACATTCTTTGTTATAGTCATACACCCCAAAAAGTACGTCAATATCCAAAGGAGAGTTTTTCTCTTTTTAACATTCTGGTCCAAATAAATATTGCCAAGACACTCGTAAAACGCGTCTTGTTCTATTTTAGTGACACTCTTTGGAATATCGACATCCAAATTGTAATTCTGCTGAAATGCACGCGAACTAGTTTCAAGAAGATTCTCTGGAAGAACCACATCGCTTAGAACATGGCAACCATCGCAACAACCATTTGGAATTATAAACAGTGATTTCGAAAATGTCAAATGTTTAAGTACTGTGCAGTTCTGAAAAGTACTTTCACCCAAATAAGACACGGAGTCTGGAATTTCAAGCGATTCAATTCCACATTGACTGAACGCTGAATCTCCAATTTTTGTAAGTGTGGGTGAGAGATCTATTTGTTTTAAATTGCCGCAGTTAAAAAAACATCTTGTTGGTATTTTTCTGATGTTGTTGTGAAGATTAACAGAAACCAAATTTGTGTTATTATCAAAAACACTTGTTTTCAATTTTGTAATGTGAAGAGGAACACTGAATTCGGTTATTTCTGTGAAATTGTTGAGGAGTGATAAAGAGTAAATGTTGACTGATTTTGGTATTTCATTGATGTCACTTATTGCGTCGGTAAAAAAGTTTTCGTTGTCTATTTTAACGTGTTTGTAAACAACTTCCAAATCTGTATAAGGAAAATACGAGTCTGTTAAAGAAACTGTAAACCACACTACATAACGTTTAACAAATGGAATTAAAGTGTCTTTTTCTGTGTACGAGTGCTGTGTTTCAATGTAAGGAAACAGTTTTAAAGTACTAACAGAAATTGGGTTGTAGCGGAAACGGTCTAATATTTTTATAAACTTTTTGTTTATTTGAACAGCATTAACATAATCTTCATAGAAGTAAAAGTACTTGGCGACAATTTGAAAAGAAAAGACGTCGAGTTGTGGTAGCATTCTGATGAATGAGTTTAAAAATTGAATTTTTTATGTTTTAACATTAACTATTAACATTAATTTTTATATTATTTATTTGGTTTATTGTTTTTTTTCATATTAATATTTTAATAATTAAAATGTTTTAGTTTAATTTACTATAAAAATGGTTTCAGAAAAATATATAATGATTATTTCATTGAAAATTTTGAAAAAAAAATAAAAAAAGACAAAAAACTATAAAGTACTATTAAATTATTATTATTTGCCGTTTTTTCTGTGTCAGTTTATTTTTCAGATATCTGTATAAAGTCGGATTTATAAAAATTGTGTGATTGAAATAATTAGATTGTTTATGTTCAAAAAACATGTTTTTGAATGAGAATTAGAACATGAAAATTGTTTTTAACAACTTAAATATATAAAATTTAGGCAATAGTTTTTTCTGTATTTTTTTATAACAGAATTTATTGGTAATCACATGTAAATTAACAACAATAATCAATAAAATACTATCTATTTTTATTAATTAAAATTATAAATTACAGTTTAAAACATGGAAATATTATTTTTATTTTTAAAATAATTTTGATATGTTTAAACACAGTTTATGTCAATAAAAACGATGTTTTGTTTGATAATAATACTGTATATTCTACATTTTATTAACGTAAAATTATTCATAAATAATTTGATTATAAAGATTAATTCAAACTTCATATATGAATCATGACTCAAGTATTATGATAAATAGATGAACAAAGTGTATTATTAAAAATGCGATTAGAAAGACTATACATTATGAATGTTGTTCTTTATATGGATTTTAAATCCATAAAACGCCTTGTCTATGTTAACAAGTCTTGTCGTGAGGCAACGACGTCGTTATATACAACGCCATACAATATTGCTTGTGATGAACACAAATTAACTAAAATGTCAGATATTTTCCAAAAGTGGAAACACTTGTTGTTACTAACGACATTTTCGATGATTCTTTTTCTTTGGACAAATTAATAAACCTTTTCTTAAACTTGAAAGCACTTCATATTACGAGAAGAAACACAGATCGCTCAATAAACACCAACGTATTACCTTTAGTGACTGATTTGTCTATTGAAGATAGTGACACATTCATTGGGAACAATGCCTCTAAGCTAACAAGGTTGAGACGTTTTTCAATGTCACATGATTCTTATTACGGCGACAGAAATTTCCAGAGAAATTTATTTTCGTTGCATACTCTTCGAGAAGTTACATTGAAACACACAATTAGTCAGATTTTATCACTCAAAGATGACATTATCAACTTACTGAGTAAAAATATAAAAGTGACCTTATTTGTGGAATGAAATGACACTTCTGATTACTACAACATGGACTATGTAAACGACGAAAATGATGTGAAAGAAATTAACAATTTTTACAATCAAAACAAATGTAATCCACATTTATTGATATATAAAATTAATTATGATATTCAGTTGAAATGCCTTTATTGTCATCTGAAAGCATATTTATGATGCAAGCCGTTGATGAAAATGATAGTGAGAGAATATGCCAAATGATTAAAGATATGCAACTTAATAAATTGTTCATTGACTGTAGTGAAGCCATTTGTGATAACCAAGAATTTACACTTGATTTGAGAAAAGCAACAACACTGGAAGAAATACGAGTAACAAGGTTTGGTGGTAAATTGTCGATACCAGATTCCATCAAGATTATTTCAATTAATTTTAAAGATGTAACAATCGTCACCAATAACGCTAAAATAGAGGAGATGAGAATCGAATGTTGTAATGCAAATGGATTGAGAGTGATAGAAGGCGTATTGAAAAAAGTTTTCTTTTGGCACCAAGGACTTGGTTTTACTTTTGTTCACAATGGAGAGGAATTGAAAAATACACTTTACATTGATAATATTGACATTAATTACAGTCAGTTAGACAACCCAGATGACCTCAAAGTGTACAAAGAAGGCAAACAAATCGTATTGAAAAAGGAATAATAAGTTAATTTAACTCAATTTTTGAGTTTAAAACTATGATTTAACAATTTTTTTGTCGAATTTTTAAATATTTAACTTTGATATTTATTAGTATTTTGAATAATATTTAGTTATTATAAAAGTGCTAATTAATACTTACAAATAAATATTACTAAAAATAAAAAAACAATGAGTCAACTTGATGTGTACCATATGATGGTAGTTTCCCAATATTTTTCGACGATAAACGACTTAATATTATTGGAGATGGTTTGTAAAAAGTTTCAAAGAAATATGGACAAATTTCACAACAACCCAGTTCCAATAAACAAAAAGACTATCAAATTTTTTCCAAAGATCGAAACACTTAATTTATTGGAAAAAAGATAATGAAGTTTTCGGTAATGATATATTTAATAGAAAAAAACTAGAAACAACAACCAAAATCGACTTCTTCCAAATCAATGTTTGGTTTGTAGTGACCTACGATTGTACTCAAACCCACTTACATTCAAATATCTCATTTAAGAATGTTATATACACAAAAAGTGACAGAAAAGTTTATGGCGATGATATACCAAGTACTATAAAAATGCTTGGATATGAATGTTATTCGCGTTCAAATTTTAAAAAAATTTCATTGCCTAACATAATCACCTCACTCTATGAGGGCTGTTTTTACTACTGTGAATCTTTATCTGTAATAACACTTCCAAGCAATTTGAGAGAAATAGGAAACAAATGTTTTGGTGACTGTTTTGCATTGAAGGTACTTGACCTTCCAATAACAGTTACAACAATTGGGTGTTGTTTTGTTGACAACTGTTACAGTCTTACGTCAATCAATGTGCCAGAAACACTCACTTCATTGCCACAATATTGTTTCCATGGATGTAGCAAGTTAAGTGGATTTTCGTTTCCTGACCATTTGAAGTCGATTGGCGATTTTTGTTTCCAAGATTGTTTATCGTTAAAATCAATTGTAATACCCGACTGTGAATGTTTTATAGGCGAAAAGGTATTTGATCATTGCAACAAATTGACTTCATGTGATATTGGTGGAAAAATTAACAGTACAGATGATTTGTGTTTTAATTGTTATTCTTGTCTTGTCTCAGTTAAAATCCCAGACACTGTTACCAACATCGGAAAGTCTTGTTTTCGCGAGTGTCACATGTTAAAGAATATAACTTTTCATCATCAATTGCAAGCAATACCCCATCAATGTTTTTTGAATAGTTTTGAATTAGAAAAAGTTGTTATACCTTTTTTCAAGAACGTCAGTGCATTAGGGTCTTGCACTTTTAGTCGATGTATCAAAATACAAACTATTGTAATACCAAGTCGTGTAGAGTCAATTAGACACAACTGCTTTGATGGGTGTTAATCTCTGGAAATTACCATTCCAAGCACAGTCATATTCATTGATAAGTATTGTTTTAAAAAGTGTAAAAAAGTAATCAAAGAAAATAAAAATAAAAATAAATAAGTTGGAACAAACGTAAAATGTGGTTGTTGGTTTTTATTTTTTATCAACAGGAAGTTTTGTTTTGGTGGGTCTGTTTAATTCTTTTACTTATAATATATTAATAAGTTACTTTGTAATAAAATCCCATATTTTTAAATTATTTTTATGTAGTTGTAATTAATCAAAAACTAGACTGTTTATTATATTGTATTTTTATTAAAAAAATAATCAATAGTTTCATATATGAAAATATACCTCACGTGTTGTTTGTGGTTCTTCGTATTTCCCACTATAATTGTCAATTTTGAATAGATGTGTGTATAATTTTTGCTATTTGTTCAATGTTTCGAAAAAATGTTGCAAAAATAAACTTAAAAACATGGGAATAAATATGTTTTAAATGAAATTAAGAATAATATTATAATAAGCATTTTAAACTGTCTCAATTATTAATAACCATCAATCAAAGTGATGTTAGTTTTTTATATTGATTTAAATTCCGATGTAAAATAAGTTTATAAAACATCAATCTTTTGTGAATGTCTAACGTTCTATTTTTTTTTCATGAAAGACACAATGCTTAACAAAAATTGACACATCAAATCAACCAAATAAATAGAGAAAGATACATTTGCTTCTTTGAAAACTTGTTTAAACAGTTAAATTAAATGGTCGTTTTGTTGTTGAACATGGTTGAAAAAAAACAATAATATTTTATAATTAAATAATGATAAACTTACGATTATAACTTACATTAATCTTTTATTTATTTAATTACATAAAATCTGCTTAATATTCTATAGCTAAAATTAGTTGGGTTTTTGTTTTTATTAGTGGACCCCATTTATTCCGCTATTTGTAATATAATAAAAACTTATTCACGTTAATGATTTTTTAAAACTTTATCGCTACAATACGATGATAAAAAAATTGAAACGAAAGGTCGGCAAATTAGACTTATCAGACAATAAAATAAACAATTTGTTTAAAAACTTGAATAAAAAACAAATTAATAAAACAATTTCGGGCATAAAAACTTTTTTAAACTTGGTTATTATTCAATGAGAACTCTAATCCTCTTATCATTTACAATATTTACTGCTTTTTCTGATGATTGTAATCCACCTGTAGAAAATTGCCTTAAATGCAAAACAAATACTCCAAATCAATGCGATTTCTGTGATTTAAAATACCATTTCAAAAAATGAAAAATGCGAGGCATGTTTATCTGGATGTGCGGTATGTAATAATAGTTATTTTGGTTATTATCTTAAAGAAAAAACTTGCGAAGTATGTCAAAGTAATTGTGCAAAATGTACCGATGCTACCACTTGTACTAAATGCAAAAGTGGATTTTATCTAAACGATAAAACATGCACAAAATGTTCAACTAATAGTTCAGTTTGCCATGATGCCTCAACTTGCATTGTGTGTAATGAAGGGTATTATCTTGAAAAAAGTAATTGCAAAGCAGAAGTAAAGTGCATTGCTACTGCAACGGGATGTTCGAAGTGCAAAGCTGATCAAACAACATGTCTTTCATGCACATCTGGTTATTATCTTAAAAGTGGTTCTTGCACAAGATGTGCAACTGGCTGTTTATCTTGCAGCGATGCTAACACTTGTACTGGTTGTAATGATGGGTATTATCTAAAGGGCAACACATACACGAAATGTGGATTTAATTGTGTTTCATGTGATGCCAAAGGTTGTTCAAAATGTGACCCAAATTTTGTTGGATATATTTCTTCTGAAGGTGTGTGTACTGCCTGTAACTCTGCGTATAATTGTGCCACGTGTATCAAAGACACAACAGATACCAATGGTGTCAAATGTTTAACATGTAATAAACAAACTAAGAACAAATACATGAATGGTAATAAATGTTTGTGACAAAGACAATAAGTGCAATAAATGCTAGACCAATTTCAATCTTATGGCTGACACTTCGAAGTGTATTGATAAGTGTCCAGAAGGATATGATTGGGTGATATTATGTTTTGGAAAAATGTTTGGGATAAAATGTTCGGTTTAAAATAATTTCTTCAATGAAACATGCATTTAATTTACATAAAAAAACAAACACGTTTATAATTGTTATTTAAATATAACTTGTCAAGAGAAAAATATTGTCAAAATTGGACAAATATATATATATATATATATATATATATATATATATATATATATATATATATATATATATATTAATAAACATTAGTTGTTAACAAAAAGTAAATGGTGCCATTATAATTATAAACATGAAATTAAAAACACGTCAATATATAGCGAATAATATTTATTTTAGTTTTATTTAAAAATTTATTCGTTTGTTTTTTGGAGATATTATTCAGAATCAACAATAATAGCCAATAACACCAAAGAGACAATCATTTATTTTAATTTATATGATTGTTCAATATCAATAAATTTATATTAGAAGACACAAATTAATTATTATTGTGTTGTTTTGTAACAATAAAAGGAAATCAAATAAAGTAATTATCAAATGAAAGATTATCACCCCGAACTCCGCCAAGTTAAAAGTCAGAAACCTACGAAAAACGGAATTTACAAAATGTTACCAGTTATAGACAATTTTGTGTTTTATCCACAAAATGATTCTTTAACGGCGTTCAAATGTAGGGAGTGTGATGTAAAAATAATTGTTACACAAATGAATGGTAACGGAGATGATATCAAATACATTGATTACAAATTCAAAGATTCTTAGCACACCAGACACTCTCATCTTCCTTCTATTAAAAATGAAGGTAATGGTGCAATTCGTGATATTATTAGTAACGGAACCAACATACTAATGTCTGCAACAAAACTGATGGACCAATATAATAACGACCATCCCAATGACAAGCGAAGACAGACTTCAATTAGAAGAACCTTTAATCTTATAAAAGCAGAAATGATCGAAGATAAAATGAAAGAGTTACTGGAAAGTGGAAAATACACAACAAAAGAAGATGATAACGTGTTTATTCTTATATCAAACGAAAAAGTAACACAACTTAAAGAACGAAAAGTGATTTATTTGTGTATGGATGGAACATTTAATTCAGCACCAAATACATATCAACAACTTTACACAATCCACGCATTTTTATCTAATGGACAGTCTTTTACTCTTGTTCACGCTTTACTGACAAAGAGACGGGAAAGTGATTATGATACACTTTTTAATTATATCAATTTGCATTTTAAAGAAAAGTGGGACAGTGAATTATTTAATGAAAAACAAGTATTATGCTTGATTTTGAAATTGCAGTTATAAATTCAATTTCCAAATTTCACTGTAATGTGCATGGATGTTATTTCCACTTTACACAGTGTATCTGGAGAGCAGTACAACGGTTATCACTGGCAAAACTATATTTCCCTTCTTCAAACGTTTGGACAATTGTGAACGATTTAAAACTTCTAGCGTTCGTGAAACCATCTGAAGTCAATGAACAATTTGAAAAAATAGTCGAAAGAATTCCATCTTATAATCTTGACAAAAATACCAGCAACTCAATCAATGATTTAATTAATTATTTCAGGGATAATTGGTTGTTTAAATGGCCGATTAAACTGTGGTCACAATTTAACCAACAATTGAGAACAGACAATTTGAGCGAGTCGTACCATTCAGCTTTGGTTAAAAGGCTTAATTGTAAAAAGCCAACACTCAATACACTATTGATTCATTTATTGAAGAGAAAAGAAGCAGAACTTAAAAATAGAACAGATGGACAAAGGGTTAAACCATTTTGTAAACAGACCAACCCGTATATTTAATTTTACTTTGAATTATTACAGCGGAAGCAGCAAATACGACAAGTTTAAAGAACAATTATCAAATGAAATTGAAAAATATAAATGGAACAAATAATATGAAAATGCCATTGAAAACACGGAAAATGAAATTCTGAGAATTGATTACATTAAAACAGTTCAAATTAATGAAAATGAAATTGGTCAACTAAAAGACGCACCAAATTGTGACCATAAAGAAATTGAATTTGATGAATTTGTTGATAAAATTGATGATGAACACGTAGAGCAAAATGTTATTACCAAAAGAAAAGAAGATGTCGAACAGGTTTTAATGAAAAGAGTAATAAATACACAAGAGTTAATAAACGACATAAATATCTCTACTCAAACAAAAAAGAAAAAATTGCCCCCTTCTCAAAGAAGTTATGTTGGAGATGGGAAAAAAGGAGAAAAAACGCACACAAATTAAAAAATAAGGACGCCGACAAAACAAAATTGTTTTGTTTCAATTTTTTTGTAAACAATTTTAAATTTATATAAAAATAACAAAATCAATTATTATGTTAATAATTACATCAATGATACTTTATTAATATATTTTTTTTATAAAAGTGGTATTTTATTAATATTTTAGAAGTTATTTAACAGTGATATTTTTACTGTAATAACAATTATTTACTTTAAACTTGATTTATTTTTTAATTTAATTTATTTGAATATATTTTGATCACCAAAAACAAACAAATAAATTTATTAAATAAAACTAAAATAAATATTATTCACTATATATTGACGTGTTTTTAATTTCATGTTTATAATTATAATGGCACCATTTACTTTTTGTTAACAACTAATGTTTATATATATATATAGATTTGTTCAATTTTGACAATATTTTTCTCTTGACAAGTTATATTTGAATAACGATTATAAATATGTTTGATTTTTTTTATGTAAATTAAATGCATGTTTCATTGAAGAAATTATTTTAAACCGAACATTTTATCCCAAACATTTTTATCCCAATCTTTATATCCCCACCCGAAGGATATAAGACAGATAAAACCAATAAAAAATGCATTAAATGTATTATTGAGGGCTGCGCAACTTGTGAAAAAGTAAATGAATGCACTGCATGTATAACTGAATACAAATTGGAATGAGGAAAATGCAATGGAGCTAATGCCTTTTATGCGTTTTTAGAAATAGTCATAATGGCTTTCTTAGTTTAAAATACCAATTTATAATTTTAATCAATTGTGTTTTGAAAAATAACAATAAAAAACTCTACGATATTACATATAAACTTTTTAATAAACAATACGAGTGTTTTTTAAAAAGTTTTTGCATTCATTTTGTTTATTATTTTTTGGAATCTTTTTTGTTCGAAATACTAAAAAATGAACATTGAACATTGACTTTTGCGATATAAAAGGTGACATGGGTAATTTGTATAGTGATTTTAAATAAACTTTCTATTCCTTTTGTTATCGTCTTTTAATATTTTTTGAAATTAGCATGATTAAACGCTCTTGCGATTTTGAAACCACTTTTAGTTATATCCCATTAGGTTATAATTGAAACAATTCGTCTTGTCATGTCACTTAGAGCAAACTGTGCTTTGGCAAGAGTCCCAATGTTTGACATTTTAACACTTTCTTTGTTTAACTAGTTTTGGAATTAATTTCTCTTTTTCCAAGTAAGGACAAAACAGTAGATATTTTTGTTGATTTGATTGGGCTTTCTATTTTTTTGAATTGCATTTTTAACTTTGGATAATGTATCCATTTCCAATTATCAATTTTACAATCATTAAACTATATAAAAAACCTTTGACCTTCAAAAACAACCAAATCCAATGGTTATAAAATGACTCTAGTGTGGGCACAATTTAAAAAAATGTGATTTTTATCTCATGAAATCTTTTAATGGCTTCATCAGTGAAATGCGATCACAAACCATCCATTATTAAAATTCCCCATGTTTTTCTCTTTTTTGCGTTCTTCGAAAGCAGGAACTAATATTTTCGTTTTCCACAACAAAAATATCTCTTTGTTCATGAATCCGTTATCTTGATATACAAAAACCATTGGATCTAACATGATGCATTTTTCTATTTCATTATCCATTGTTTTTCGTGGCATTATTAACATTAGTTTCAATTTTGTTGAATCGCCCCAAATTCCTACAACAAGACTTAATTGTTTGACCGCTCTGTCAAAGGCCCGTTTTGATTTGAATGATTTCGTTTTGTCGCAATACACTGTCTGATATTTTGTGTCAACAAAAGAAACAAATTCAGATTCGTCCATATTAAGAAGAAATGAAGGAACGACACCAGACAGTTTTATTGATTTTTTAGAACAGCATTTATGATCGTTGTAGAGCAAAGTCTCGTTTCTTTATATATTTCTTAAATAATTGTTGGATAAATTTGCTTTATTCTTCTTTATTGGCTTAGATTAATGTGGTTGATCTGTGTATGTTATCTTAACCTATTTACTATTTGTCTTCTGCGTTTTTGTTTCTAATGTGATATTGAAAAGTCTGTTATTATGTCTTTTGTAGCCTGTTCTGTAGTATTTTGAAAGAGTTGGATTCTTCCAATGTAAAAAGTGGTACTTTGTTTTTTTAATTATTTGTTTTAATTGGAATAGTCAATAATATACTATATTACAAACATGTATTGATATCAACATTTAAAATTTTAAAAATTGTTTTATCAAAATCAAAACTTGTTTTTGGAAATTTGAAATTGTTAAAGTTTATTTTATATTAATTTTACAACTTATTTAAAAATAATGAATAGTAAAATTTATTTAATTGTCGTTAAAATTTAAATTTGTTTCGAAATTGTTTATATAATGATTTGATTACAACTTATATTTAATACATTTGGTTTTATTACAGATGTTTTAAAAAATTATTAATTAAATAAAATAATATTATTAGAGGTTCGCTGTTTTCAACTGAATATTTTAACCCGTTTAATAGGTAAAATACTTACTGTTAGAAACAAGAAGATAATTATTTTTTTCACAAAAAATAAAAAACTTCGATTTATTTATACTTTATATTTCATATAAAAAAATAAAAGTTATTACAATAAATATGTATTT